CTTAGGTGGGTTTAAGGTGTGAGAGACAAAGAGAAAGACCAGAGAAAGATTGAAACTTGGTTTCTGTGCAGGTGCTTTGGAGCCTTCTACCGAAGTCGAGGAGGCCCATGAGGGAGAGGATGGCGAGGAGGCGGACCTAGAGGAAGATGAGGAGGAACAACCTGATCCTGATGATGCTGGCGATGAAGACGAGGATCAAAGCTGGGATGAAGAAGGTGATCAGGAGGGCCAGGAGTCCGGTGACGCCGATCAGGGTGAGGAGTGGGCTGATGATGATGATGAAGGGATACCGACTTCGGGGTATCCGGATGATGAGGGTATGGATGTGGGTGCTGCCGACCCGCCTGCTCCGGCTTCCTACCCCAAGCCGCCCCCTGGTTGCACATGATCCGCTCGTGCATAAATATGTATGTGCGTGTGTATGTGTGTGTGTGTGTAGTGTGCGACAGCTAGTTCACAGACACGGGTCAGGAAATCCATCCTGCGGGCGCCCTCCAGCATCAGCGTCCAGTCGGAGAAGTCCTCAATCAGCCCGGTGGGCGTGCGGGACGATGACGGCAAGGTGAGGAGGGCACGGACCCTATACCTATTTCGGTGCATGTGTTGCATGCATGCACCCCTCCTGCCATGAATCCCAGCTATAGGTCAGAGTCTTGGACGAAGCGACCCGGCAATCGATCCAGGACAGAGAGCCAGAGAGCCCACATTATCTCTACCGCGAAAGCAAGCCCAAAGATTGCACGCAGGCCATGACACACCCCAGCCAGATGGACGCCGGGGAACGTCGCCGGCAGCGCGAGGCCATGAAGCGGCGCATGGAAAAGCCTGAAGGAGAGCAGTGCTGCAGTGGTCGTTCATGATTGTCAAACAGCATATAGAGACTTCCACGCAGGACTCCCCCCGGGACTACTCGAAAAGTGGGAAGCAACCAGGAGCACCACAGGGAAGCTTCTCGGATAGTAACAAGCTACGCATGCAATGAGATCGCTATCCATATTGAATCCATTAATTGTGACTATCTGACCCTGGAACATCCTTAAGGTTCGAATTTTTAAAGGCATTTATGCTTGACCCGAATATGGGCGATATGCACATCGAAGCGATCTACAGCGAGTGCTCGGGCAGCATTGATCATTTGCTGTGATCCACATCTACTGAGTATCAGAGTTCACACGATCGCGGTTGCATTCTTTCAAGATCTATCTCAGGTATTCGGAGAAGCGGAACGAAGGCCACTACATCGAACTCCCTCTTCACGAACTAGAGAAGAAATACGGGGATACAGAAGAAGGCCGACGCTTTCTTCAAGAAGATATCCTGGCGAAACAGTCTGGGCGGGAGCATCCGCAAGCAAAAGGCAGTGCCTCCTGGAGGTTGTATAAGGTGTATGAGTACGGAAAGGAGATCAGCAGCTGTGACGAATTCAGAGATGTCTTCATACTTGAATATCTAGATATCTAGAGATATCTAGAAATGACATGAAGAACCACGAGAGAGAGAGGGAGAGAGAGAGAGAGAGAGAGAGAGAGAGAGAGAGAGAGAGAGAGAGAGAGAGTGAGCGAGAGAGAGGGAGAGAGAGAAGAGGGAGCGAACCCAGAAGAGACACGACGACCAAGGTGCAAACGTGAACAAGGTGGGCACAAAGACCACAGCCAGGAAGCGGATCGGAAAAGCCGACGAAACCACGAAAAAGAAGCTCGGGGAGATCATGACTTCCCAAGCTGCCGACTTTGTGAAGGGTCTGGACGACAAGGGGAATAAGAAAGCTACAAAAGAGCCCAAGGACAGCATGTTTTCACTGTGAGATGTACACCACTCAATAACACTAATTCCATACAAATTCTGCAGTCCTGTCTGGAATGCTCATACAGCATCACTTCGCTTCGCAGGTTCTGACGGATGAAGAAGTGAGGAAACGTGATTTTGATAAGACGATGAGCCAGACGCTTGCCGAGCAGCCATGTGCGAACTTCTGTTGTCAGCATGCAACAGCTATAGGGCAGCTCCACGTTGTCCAGGATATTGTCCTTGGCTGCCAAAGCAAAAACAGTGGCCCAGAACCTTACACGTTCGGGTCTGGAGCGCCAGGAGGCCTGGATCCTGATTATTTGCTTCAAGACATGTAGCATTCTACCGCAGATTATCTAGAATCCGCAGCGGTAGTCTGATATACAATTCAAGATCCAGTGTAGTGGCCCACATTTATATTCTAGTTCGCGTAGTTCACAGCATCAAGAAACCACAATCCCTTATGCAATACAAACCCGCAAGAACTTCTAGACCCGTGCATTCACGCCCGAAATCAGGAGAACCACTGGGTTAATTCCGTTGCATGTTCAACGATCGGTGCTGCAGGCCAACATCAAGCACATGCAAGACGTGCACCAAGAAACATGAGGATTCATGCAGAGTGCCTCGCTCGATCTAATCCGATTCAGACCACCTATATATAGTCCACTCCATGTAGATGTCTTTCTTATGCATTGCATGCATGTGCCTCCAGGATCAACGAATGCGTCTTCGCAGGGTACGAGGATGAGTATGTTTACCAGAAGGTGGAGGAGAAACGAGCCGAGATCGAGGTTGGGTCTTAAGCCCGATTAGTTACCCCAAGCCTAGTAGATTATCAAACCCTCGATATATGCAGATTGGCCCCTTCGGATGATGTATTCCAGCACGTGCCAGCACGGATCGAGGCCGCCAACAAGGCCGTCCTCTCAGCAGAGGATATCGTTGCCGGCCACTATCGCCGCTTCTTAAATGCACTTACAGTCTTCGGTATTTGCATGCATGCAAGCTAGCTGACTCGAGTCTCGATCTACACTGCAATACGAGCATGCTGCAGGCTTGAACTCAGAGAGAAAGAAAGCAGAAAAGGCAGCTGTCAAAGATGGCGGTGCTACGGATGCTGAGTACGAAAGCAGCTGGGACACCGAAGCGTGGGATTCCTCAGCTGCCGCAGCGCCGGCCAAACGAGCCCGCCGCGCCTAAGATGTGGCACTGCAAATGCAGTGCTCTGGGAGCCGAACTATCCAGATCGGCAGCTGTAGATGCTAGATGGGTCGGGGATGGCTGTCATTGTCATGCTTCGATGAATGACTGCAACCTAGGTCGACCTGCAAAACCTGCATGTTCTGCCGTCTCGAACCTGACCTGTAGCATGCAGCGATTTCAGTTTCAAACACCGACACCGGGGAAGCCAAAAGTTGCTCGGCATTCCGCAAGATTGGAGGCATGCAAGCGTCTGTATCGAGAGTGCATGTAAATGTACACATGTGCCAATTCGGTAGAACATGGCTCGATCATGATTTGGAAATCAAAGTCACTGCCTGCCAATCCTTTATAAGCTCTATATACCCTTATCTTAAAACCCCAACAACCGACGCAAACCCTTGAATCCCAAGACCCTGAACTGACACAAACCCCTGAACCCCAAACCATGCTGACGATTGAACCAAAGCCCCAGAAGAACCTGAAGGTCCCAGCTTCATGATGCAGAAGCGTTGCCGCCATGGAGTCCAAACTGAGGGCGAATCCAGGTTTCAGCATGAAGGAGTATGTGGACCAGACGATCCATGATGCCTGGGAGATGTTCGGGTCTGGGGAGGTGCCACCATGCATGCTGTCGTCTGTGTCTTTATAACTGCACACTTGGATTGCAGGCCAATCTGAGCAGACTACGGAAATCTCTAGGCCAGGCTGTTGTATTGCGGTCTTACAACATAACAGCTAGCAGCAGCTAGCAGCTAGCACGTTTAACTGGATTGCAGCTGCTGCCCAGCACTTGCAGGCCGACTGCGCGAGCTGCCTCATAGCTTGATTCCGCTGCCCCGTCGCAATTGAGTCGCATGGAGCGATGATTTTCTGAAGTTGTCAGTTTCATGCATCTCAGGCAGGATACGCTGGAACTTTTGGATGCTCTGGACTCCTGCCAGTCTTATGGGAGTGGTCGCTGTATCGCGAGATGGCTCAAGAAACAAGACTGGAGAAGCCCGGCAATCAATCAATCCACACACAATCTAAACTTACAGCGCATGCCCTCTGATCGAAACTGATCTAGATTAGTCCTGCGTGATCCCAGGAGCAGCCTTGCCTCAAGCTTTCCAGCTGGATGTGCCAATGGCGGCTGGGACGCATGCAATGTTTCATATTTTAACACACATTCTAGCAAACATGGCCATGACTTAGTTGTTCTCAGGAGTACATTGATGCCCGGGGCGAACACAGGACCACCATCAAGCACGAGATGTACCTCCCCCACGAGATGGTGGCATCATTCTACCAACGAGAAGACCTGTTCTCACTTCTTACAGGACCCCCAGGGGCCTCTTAGTCGAACAAGCATGCTCATGCACCGACATCTTCATCCCAGGCTTGCAATGCACATGCAGCTCAGGCTCTTCGTTCATATTGGGAAGAGGAGCTGGCAGCCACGAGCGCGTTTGTGAAGCCGCACCCCGCCTTCGATGCAGCTGGGCCGAATTGGGTGGGGAGTTTGCTGATCTTGGTGTGGTCTGTCTGCATGCAGGACCCCGATTGCAATCTCGATTACGTGGTGCCGCTACGGCTTTATGGTGACGGCGCAGATGCTTATCGCTTCTCAGCCAAATCATCACGCAAGCATGAGTGACATACTTCATGAGGTCGATGTATCATGCACACATACTAAGGTAGACAAAAATTCGAGATTTTGACCCTCGTGACGGTCCCAAAGACTGAAGCTGAGACGTCCACCTTGAACACCCGGTTCCTGTGTCTCGACGCGCAAATTATAACCTCGGGTCGAATCAACATGGAGCGATGCACATAAGCCCCGAATTACGTGGGCCACACCCAGGCTATCATGTATGAATGCCACCTACTGCAGCACGGCTGCGCGGGACAAGCTGCTGACCATTATAGCATGGAGCTTTAATTGCCTGAGCCACTCGACTATCTTGCTAGCGCAATAAATTTGCTAACGGCACACCTACAAACTCTTGCAAAATCTTGAGGCTCGGGTGTCCACCCTCGCTGCGACGCTTTCGGGAAGGAGTTCGGGCCGGGCTACATGCCCGAAAGGGCAAAAGTGGCAGGCACACGAATCTGCGGCGATTATATCTGCATCTTTGATGGGTTTCAAGCCGATTGGGAATACCACAAGCTTGCTATGGGCCTGCATCGTTTCTCATCCGCAACAGGACCCTATACCTGAATTTCAATCCCTTAATATATTTCGGGTGAGATCCAACTTTAAGGCTTCTACAACAAGAAGATGACATGTCATTTCTGTTCGGCAATCCAGTGGATCAATGCTGTAGCCAAGCCGGGGGAACCCAACAACGTGGAGCTGCTTTATTCCTGCTTCGGGCATGACGCCCTCCACCGCAGCACTATGATCTTGACCAAGGAGGACTTCATCGAAGCACACGGAGAATCTCCATTGACTAAGATTATTGGGTTTGGTCCCTCCAGAATCTTGGCTATATAAGCACTGTTACACTTGATGTTTAGAGAACAGTTAACAAAACCTTTGACATGGACCCATCTGGACTGCTACCTGACTACATGCATATGGTACACTTGGCAGTGGCTGTTGATTTTCTCGGCAGCATGTTGCTGGAGGTTACTGACGACACTACGATATTGCCGGGCGCATCGCGAGAAAAGCGGCTGGATTTGTTGTGGAAAGATTACAGATCCTGGGCTGAAGCCTCTCAGATACTTGGTGATCGCGCCAGCAGACGCATGTTTACAACAGCAGTTCTGCGCAACAACAAGAATATCGAGGTTTCGCAGAGAATTCTTTCTGCGACTGCTTGCAGATATATGCTGCTATGGGCATGCACTTTCTTGACAACGGTGTGCGAGCAGATCGCACCGACTTCTATCTTGGAGCAACTTGGAACATACCTTATATGCATGTGTTTTGTAGACTTAAACTTTCAGCATACATGAGCGTGCATGCACCCAGGCACTTGCTGGCAGCTGCCACGGCTTTTCGAGATATGGAGATGCTGATGATACACAACGGGCACTCAGTCAGCACTATGTTGCGAATTTAAAATTTTCATGGCAGTGTATGCATCCAAGTCGCTTCTTCGGCAATGCGGCCGCACAGCAGTTCGAGGATTGCTACCTGATGCTTCGTTTTGCGTACAACGAGCTTGCACGAAGTGCAATAGCTCGAGTGCTACCGAGATACCACTTTAGGCCCAAACTCCATTTATTGGAGCACTGCGTATTGGATTGGAAGCCCCGCAACCCAAGATACTTCAGCAACTATCTTGGGGAAGACGCTATCCGTCGGATTAAGAGTCTGGCTTCGAAATCTGATGTGCGCAATATGTCACAGAATGTGCTGCTGCGATATACTGTGCAGATGGGACTTCGCTGGCAGAGACAGTAAAACAAACAGATCGTCTGCATGCAGATCGGATGCAGCATGTGCTCACGTCATCGTCCGCCAGCTTCCAGCATGCAGATGGCCGGAGTCCATGGCTACATAATTTCTCCGAATTTATATGTCACAATGCGTGGTATACATATGTATATATATATATATGTGTATATATATATATATACAGATACTTCTTTTCAACCATACATTTTTTTATAGCTATACAAATATCAACACTATTTTAGACACACGCGCACATCTTTAAGGATTGCATTAATTGCCGACGACAAACTCGGTGTATGCCTGAATCTTCGAGGCGTACCGGCTGTGAGTGCTGGCCATCACACGCGAACGTGTAACACACCTATTATTCTATCCCATTATAAGTCGATTAATGCACAGTATTAGAACACCGATGTCACACTGAATCCCCCGACAGCTTGCCCCAATTTTTGGCGAATCACTCCTCGAGCTATACAATCAGGTCCCGGAATTGCAATCTAGGAGCTAGATTCTTATAAGAAACCGAACATGATCGCACTGATGCTCATGACTGCTTCGGGTGTGTAGCCCATTTCGCACGTGATCCCGACTTTTTTGTAGCCAGTGGTGTGCAATCCAAACATTTCAAAGGCAAATTGCACATCTCAGAAATCTTTTGATCGCGTTTCGTTCGTCCGTGAAACTTTTTGATTCAAAAGGCAAAAATGCGATCGACCTTATATGGGCCAGCGTCCTTATCCCACCAGCGTCCTTCTATATAAGGCTTGTTGACCCGTGATGGTGGGCTGCACACACTATCCCGAACTCTCAGGGCTGCAAGGCAGTCTGACTGACTATTAAAGCCAGGATGCTGCTCTGTGTACAGAAAGTCAATGTCGGTTTCCTCTGCGTTGTACTTCTTGTTGTGTGCCTGGATGATGCTTTGAGCTTCCTCTGCGATCTCCGCGTCCATGTTGAGGAATTTCTCTGCAAGGCTTGCAAGCAGGAGGAGACGTCTTGGTGACTGCAAAACGACGGATACCTGAAGGGAGAGGCCTTGCGTCTGCTCCGTGTCCGTGAGGGCCTGCATCCTCTGCACAAGTCCTTGAAAGTCCGGCCACCCCGGCAAGGCCAGTTTTCCTTTCCTAGCAGATTGGAATACGTGGTTGGCCAGTTTTTCGTCTAACCAAGCATTTCTATCCCACACTATAGATGCCAGTGTCATGGTTCGGTCGGATGCGTGGCAGTTCTCCTCGATCACCGCAAGTCCTGGCCAAATGTCGTATCCATGCAAGTCCACCAGCATCACGCTTTTCGAGTTCGTTGGAACCATTGACTTCAACGTCTGACGTACCAAGCTTGTTCCTCCTGCCTCTTGCTTGAGTTCTTGTACGTCGGTGAGCTTTCTTCCTAGATATGGCAGCTCGGACTTCGCCTGCGACAATCGGGTTTAATTCAGAGAAAGATTTCATAACTGGATTGCGAAGTTTCTGGAACATCCTGCCTCCGGCGAGTTGAAGTCGTTCCTTGGTAGCATCTCTACGTCGTAAATTGTTCCGCTCTTGCAGCCCGGCATGTTCCTGAAGACGCTTCCGCTTCCCTTCACGAGAATTGCGAGGCCAGCCTTGGT